CTACAATTCAAGATGATATTTGAGTGGGGGCTCAGCCAAACCGTAGCAAGGAGGGACTCTGCAAATGTGGCACAAACTCCTCAGTCTGTGACTTCCTAACCTAGCAGATGCTCCTCGAAACCTTATCAGGTTGTTTCACTGCATAAGTGCTGGCTAAATGCTTGTTGAGAAAATTCAAAACATGTTTGGGTTACTGTCACAAGGATGAACAATGATTTATTTGGAAAACAGGTGTTGGCGTGGCCACAACCATGCCTCTGAGGGAACAGCCAGAGGAGAGGCTCCAGGGGCATCCTGAAGATGCCAGAGCAGGCTCACATGGCACCTGCAGGGTGGCTGGCTGGCGGCAGTTTGGAGGTCACCTGTCACTTCCTCTTCAGGGAAGTTCACCATCCTCTGCTCATGAGGGCGCCGCTGTCCCGGAGCTTTCTTCCTTGATGCAAGCCATGGTAGCTACTTCCAGCCATGCACAGTGACTTGTGCCAGCAAAGGGGGCAGTGAACAGGATCTGGGTCACAAGGATTGTGACCCTTGGGGACCACAGGGCCAGGCTGTCATTCTCAAAACCATGAAATTCAATGACAAACACAACAGCAAATTATAATGCCAACAAAGACTTCTACGTACATGCAAATCTATTAATCAATAAGTGGCTAAGTCACTAAACTACAGCTTTCTCATGATGCTCACCATCCATCCTTTGGGGAAACCAAAATGCTCACAACTAACCGCGGTGTTCACTCAATTTACTAGCTTAAAAAAAAAAGGAGCACAGCATCACAAGTGAGAAATGTTCTAGGAAGTGTTCTTCAACAATGTCCTCAAGCATAGGTATGAGGAAAATTATATTGGCTTTGTATAAGGAATGAATGATTGGGAATAAAGAAAAGAGTATACTGCATTCCTATGATTAGTCTGAAAATGATGTTGCTAGGGAAGGCTATTTAATCAAGAAAAGTACCTCTGCAAGTTGGAGAAAACTATACTTTCTGAACACAAGAAAAATGTCCATATTTTTGCCCTGACATTCTTAGACATCCACCAAGAATGAGGGAAAGTAAGGTACCATTTACATACATATCATACTGTAGTGAAAACAATCACAGGTTACAGCACTAGAGAAGCCTGGGTTCAGATTCATTAAGTTCTCTATGGATCATTGATGGACAATCAGAATTGAAATTTAATACTACATCAGGGAATCCAAGGGTCATAGTCATACTTGACCCAAATGGCTCACAGTAATGACTCAGGTTAATACTGGAGGGTAACTGTTTTGTTTACAATTAGCAGCTTATTATCTTGAAGTCAGTCTCACAAACACATTGACTTTACAAACTCTTTAAATAAAAGGTTCTGTATCCTGATCCTGAAGTATGCTGTAATAGTCTACAGTGAAAAGAAAATAATTCTGAGAAAAAAGATCTCCCCATGATAAACTGAAGAAAACAAAAAGCATTTATATAAAAGTAACAATAAAAAAGAGTTTAAAAAGCAAGCTTCCACTCTTTTTTATTAAAAAGCAAAAATCAACTCAGGTAAAATACTTTAACTCATAAAAAGCAGAATCAAACATTACTTTAAAAAATATCAGAACCATAATATGTGCATTAAGTCTTTTAAATAGTTTAACTTTTAGACTACTTTACTATTAAACACTTAGTTTTTCTCAGAAAGCTGTTGCAAACCCAAGTACTGTTCTGACTATAGAAATCAATGATTCTTTTCTTGAGCAGAATAAAGATATAACTTCCTTAAATGACATTCATCTTAATATTACCATCTTAAATTCTGCTTCATTACCAAAAACAGTGTTTTCAAGAACTGGATTTTTCTAAATTCCATTTTTATTTTTATAATAACTTTACTATTTAATTATATTCATTGTAGAAAAACGTGAAGACAGAAAGATTCAAAGAAAATAAAAACTATCCCAGTATCCCTCCCCAAAATACAATGACAAGGTTATATATATATTTCTGAGGGGTTTTTTTTTGTGTGCATTTTAAAGCAAAACTAGTACTATAAAATGCTACCATATCCATATTTTCATTTCATATATAGAGCAACCATATCTTTTAAGGATATTAAAATATTCAAAAAGGATTTTCAGTTGGCTGATTCACAATCTAATTATAACTAAGATATAATTTATCTCCAATTGCTAGGTATTCAGATTGTTTTAATTATTTGCTATTATCATTATCATTATTAAACACCCTTCTTTATACATAATTGTTTGTATGTATCTCTGATACGGTTTTAAAGAGAAATTCCTAGATGTAGAGTTCCCAGCACAAAGTATGCCAGTATTTTTAAGCCTTTTGATGCATTTTACCAAATTGCCTTCTAGAAATAATGTACCAATTTGCAAGTCGCATCACTAAATAACCAAAGAGTCCCACTTCTTCCTTATATTCTTTGGCAGCATAGGAAAGTAGAGATTACCCTCTACCCTTTATTGTTGCGAATTTAATAGGGGGGGGAAGAAAATGGTGTGTTTTTTGTTTTGTTTTTCCTAAAATGTAAAATTTTTTTCCCACGTTTACTGGTCATTTGCTTTTCTTCTGTATTTTGAAGTTGTCCAAGTCATTTAGGAGTCTCTAATACACATAATGTCTTGTCTTTCCCATATTTTTTTCAAGTTAAGCAGGAATTCCCAAAATGACTGGAGTTAGAATGTCTTCTTTTCTCCTGGGCAGTCATGCTACTTTAATGTCTTGGTAATAAAACAGAAAACTGGGCCATATTCTGAAAGGAAGAAAGGAGGCAGTGATATTCACATGTGGGTGTAATTACTGAGATGTTTGTTAAAAAAATGGATTTTGATTTTATAGATCAAAGTGAGGACTCAGGAAAAATACACTTGAAATAAACTCCAGATAATTTTCAAGTTCACTAACCAGATATGAGATGTTAGGTACTCTAAACTCTCGGTTCCTCACCTCCCTTTCCTGTATAGTGGGGTCAATAATGCTTATCTCAGAGCACTGTTCTGATAATCACTTATTCCCATATCAGCCCCCAGCCTGGATTATTGTTTATGCAACCTCCATCCCTTATCCTTATCCCACTGCATGAAATCATTGAAATTTTTATGTTTTTGTATCTCCAAACATCATAGGAGCACCATCACAAGTCTAAGTATCTTTGCAAACCACATCTTGACATATAGTGGGTGCTAAGTGTTTCTGAAATGAGTTAGTGAGTGAATGAACGATAAACATTTCAGTGCTTAGAGGACTAAAAATACTACCCCAAAATAAGGGATCAGTATGGTGTTCCTTAATGCTACAGAATGAAGGGTAACATTCTCAGTTTTGACTAGAGCAGGAATTCTTCATTTTCTCTATGTCATATATATGTATCATATCTCCCTTTGAGAATCTGATGAAAACTACATAAACTAACCCTCTTTAAAAATGCATACAAATAAAACCACACAATTTTACATACAATTTCAGAAGCTCCAAGAAAGAACACTGATTTCTAACCTTCAACCATTTTTATTTAAAAATGAAGCTTAAACAGTAAATTCATTCCCTACTTGAGAAATTAACTTCAAGCATGAAAGACTATGGTCAAAGCGGGGTCAGTTGAGACACTTAAAAAAAAATAAACTTCTGTAACATTTTGCTGGTAACAGTACAAATATAAGTCACATTTCTAGCAAACCAACATGCACTTTTTATGCAAGCTCCAGTTGTGCCATCTGACTGCACTCAGACTTTATTTTTTCCCTTTTCATTCTAATAATCAGGGTTTCCTGTATCCTATTATGATAAAACACTTCATGGGGAAAATGGGATATCATTTATTCATTAAATAACATTTAGCTCCTAGGTACATAGTGTTGAAACCAATAGATTTGTTTCTTAGTAGAGAAGATACAAATTCCAACATTCCTATTAGTCCTAACTGCTGAGAGACACCTTTACAGTGGTGTGCTGGATCCTGTTCACATCAGCTTACAAGAGCTGACTGTGTGTATTAATTCTCAACACATTGGTGGCTTCATATTAGTAGCATGAAATTGGCCATAGTGGGTACCACATAAATCAGCAAACACTACAAATCAACACTCTGCCATGCCCAGTGATTGTCAGTCACTTACCACCATACAATGTCCTCATTATACTAAAATTGTGGCTCTCTCATTCCAGAGCTCCTAGGCAGTAATTCAGATAAGGAGGGCTTAGATCAACCTTTCAAATCCTCTCTCCACCACTGCCAGAAGACCCAAAAGTACAGGTGTATTCTAGGAGACTTCAAGGTAGGAAGTCTCTTTGGATAGTAGGAGAATGCAGTATCTGATCAGTAAGAGGCAAGTCTTTACCTATGTGGTTAAGAGTCACAAAGTGCCCAAAGACAAATCCTGCAACACCAAGGGATTTGTATTAATTCTTTCTATAATAGCTTTCCAACATCTAGTATTAATTCCCAGAATATAATTTAAACTGACAGTTTAAATTATATTCTGGGAATTAATACTAGATGTTGGAAAGCTATCCATCTGCAACCATCCCATGCTTATCATTAAGTACTGTTTTAGTGTGATGCAAGTTTAACCTTAAGCAGACATTTTCTGGCACCATTTTGGTACTACTGTCAGAGTTTTGGCTTTAAAGGATTGCCACAAATTTGAATGGATCTGCCAAAGAGAAAATAGCTTTGTCAACAATGTAAGCAATATGCAGAAAAAGCACTCTCAATCTTCTGAAGACTTTGGGATATATTACAGAGCAGGACAATGTGAAGATCTTGGTATACTAGATAATAAAACTCTCTCAACCCCAGTTTTCAATAGTCTTGCATTACCAGCCAGAAAATATGACTACTCAATTTCACAAGTGGTTGGTATGGCAGCAAATGTCACAAAAACTTTTTGAAAACATCTAAGCTGGCATAAAACACATGAGGACCAAAGGTGAAATGCAAATAAGAAAAGAAGGCAATGGAGGGTGTATGGACACGCCTGCTTGCACATGGCTGACACTTACCTTCAGGCTATGGAGGGTTTCTGACCATTCCATGGACCCTATTTGAGGTATGGTAGTGAGCAGCAAACTTTTGGCTTTATTAGCATTTTCTTTCAGGGTTTTTAAGACCCGGTCCACTGAAACCTAGAGAAATAACAGCACTGGAGGTTACTTGAAATTAAAATTCCACTGCTTGTCATAAACCATCTTCCTGAGTTCCAGCCTGGCTATGGTCTAAACGTTTGTGTCCCCCCTCAAATTCATTCGTGGAAACCTAATCCTCAATGTAGGGTATTTGCAAGTTGGGCACTTGGGAGGCAATTAGGTTAGGAAGGCAGAGTCCTCGTGAATAGGATTAGTGACCTTACAAACGAGGCCCCAGTGCCATTCTTCGAGGGGCCCTTCTACCTTGTGAGGTTCTAGTGAGAGGACGGCTGTCTGTGAGAAAGTGGGCTCTCACTGGACACCAAATGTGCCTGTCCCTTTATCTTGGACTTTCCAACATCCAGAAATGTGAAAAATAAACTTCTGTTATTCAGAAGCCACCCATGCTATGGTATTTTGTTACAACAGTCCAGACAGACTAAGAAAAGCCTGACTTGTGAAGTCTGTTTATTCTATGTTTAATCCTCTGAGTTCAAGCTCGGCATTTATCAAGATGGTCTTAGTCCTAGCAGGGAGGTCCTAGAGAAACTCAGTGACATGTCTGAAAAGCACCGATGAATTTGTATGTGGTCTGGATCTGTGTCCTCACCAAATCTCACGTTGAACTGCTGGAGGTGGGGCCTGGTGGGAGGTGCCTGGATCACCAGGTTGGATTTCTCATGAATAGTTTAACAGCATCCTCAGGTGCTGTTCTACTGATAGTGATCTGATTGTTTAAAAGTGTATAGCACCTCTCCTCACATTCTCTTGCTCCTGCTCCCACCACGTGAGAAGCCTCACTCTCCTTTTGTCTTCCACCATGATTGGAAGTTTCCTGAGGCCTCCCCTGAAGCTGAGCAGATGCCAGCATCACACTTCTTATGCAGCCTGTAGAACCATAAGCCAATTAAACCTCTTTTCTTTATAAATTACCCAGTTTCAGGTATTTCTCCACAGCAATTCAAACTGTGGGAAACTCAACAGGACAAATGACCTGGCTCCTTCTCAAAAAGCTTGCAACCAACAAAATATTTTAAGGCATTCAACTAGAAATTTAAATTTTGGCTGGGTATATTAAAGAATTATAACCGGAGAATGAAAATGATAATGTGGATAAAATTACTAATGGAAGTAATAATTATATTGGTTGTAAGTTAACATAATGGTTGAAGCTAGATGCTGAATTCATGGAAGTTTGTACTATTGGCTACTTTTGTATATGACTAAAATAGCTTCATAAGAAAAAGTTGAAGAAAGTGAATATAAAACTTCCATCAGAGTTAGAGTACTTGACATGCCTTACTATGCTTTGAAGAAATCCAACATTCAGGGCCATAACGATTACACCTTTCTATTTCCTTAAGTATAGGCCAGATCCCGCCCATAAACACCAAGATGTGTTTAGGAAAAAATGATGAACACTGTAGCAGAGGGGAGCTCACACTACTATGGGAACACAAAGCAGTGACAGGCTAGTTATCTGCCAGGTACGTGTAAATGGTATGCTTTAAGCTGAGTATTTGAATGCAGAGACATGAAGCATCCAAGAAGTTTGCCTTGTATTTACTCATTTCCTTATATGTTTTTTCCTGTGACTGATTATTTCTGTATAGGCACTGACATCCCTTCTCTTTGTTCCAGCTGTTGGGCTCCACCCAAAATGTCCTTCCTACTGACCTTCCCATAATAAACCCTCTGTTCAAGGTGCAGCTCAAATGCTACCTCTCAGGCCCCCCACTCCATCAGAGCCACCATCTGTTAATCACCCTCCTATGAACCAGCATTATACTCGTTGTTTCACATATATCATTTGGTTTAATTCTTCCAGTAATCCTTCGAGGTCAGAATAATGACTAAATAACTTCCACTTCTCACCCAGAACCCTGGCTTCATTCTACAGAAGAGTAAACAACTGAAATAACTTGCCCAGTGTGACAAGTAAATGGAGCAACTGGAATCTGAAGACAGCTTTATAGAACTCAAATCCTTCTTGCCATGCCAGGCTGCACATCCACACAAAGCACAATGACACACACGATTGGCTGAAATACTGCCATCTTTATCTGTGCCTTCCTTGTGGTATTTAACGCTATCTTCAAGCCTTACCATTTACAGAGCTTAGTTTCTCTGCTTTTCAACAAAGTAGCTCCAGCTGACTGTTTCCCCAACCTCGTTTGGCTACTAAAGGAAATCACTGCTGGTTCTACAAAGGAGGGGACATATGTTATTAGACTAAGCAGAAAGTCACAGGCAGGAAGCAAACCACTCTCAGGGTGTGGCGGGGGCTGGAATTTCCTACTAATTGGAAGCAGCTTCTTGACATCATAATGCTGAGTTGTTCCTTAGGTTACCAAAGCTGCCAAAAAAGATATTATGCTGTGACTTAATGTAAGAATTGGCAAATCTCTTACAGAAAAGGCATCCTAGTACTAAGCAAACAGTTTATTATACGGAGAAGTCATCATAAGGAACTCATGAAAAACAAAGAACCTGTGTTCATCTACGACCCAAAACACCACACACATGGATGGACAGGTGGCAGGAAGATCTAACCCAGTTTTATGTAAAATTAGATAGTAAAACAAACAACTCTCTAAAATGGTGGTAAAGGCCTCTTTGGAGATGTCACTTACCCTAAATGTGCTTAGAAAGGTCACCCCCAATTTTTTTCCTTACTTCAAAAGTGACTGCAGTTTTGTCCTTTTCTTTATCTTAAAATGAGATAAACGACAGGACAAATGATCTAGTTTCTTCAAGTAACACAAGGAATAAAAAGAGAAGCAGGTGAAAATTAGATTGTGATAAAAGGCATATCATTAAAATACAATGTATGGATTGTAAGGAATTCTGATTTGATCAAATTGTTAAAAATTATGAGACTGAAGAAAAAATCAATAGTCTAAATATTTGATTATATTAAGAAATTAATATCACTATTTTTGTACAATGATGGTATGGTTATGATTTAATTTTTAAAAAGACCATTTAGGAAAATACTAAGTTTAAGATGAGGGCCAGGGAGACAGAAATAGGTAGGGACATACATATGACACAAGGCTGGCTATGGCTAATTGTGGAACCTGGGTGATGGGTACCTGGAATTCATTATACTCCACCCTGTACTTACGTAGATGTTTAAACATTTCCACAAGGAAAGTATTTGTTTTGGAAGCTGACCTCATTTTTCCAGTGTCCTCAAATTCCAGCTGGATCCTGCTGCCTTCACTGCCTGAACCCCTAACTGACCTTCCATTTGAAACCCTTAACACGGTCTATATGGCCTGGCTCTGCCGTATTGCATCCCTGCTTTCTCTCCCTTCTCCCATCTCCTTCCTTTCCACTCTACTCAATCATGCCCTTTTTGCCCATCACACTTAAAACAGGAAGTCTTCTCATACTTCAAATATTTGGTCTGGTCAACTCAATAGGTACCCTTGTACCTCATCATTCTATTTCTTTATAACCATTAGCTTTCTTATATTGGTTTACTTGACTTGTGTCTCCTGTAACAGAACGTTGGCTCCTTAAGGACTTGTCTGTTTGCTGTCACATTTCTATGCTGAACATAGCATCCAGCCATGGTAGGTTAAATAGATGGGTGTGAACATATAGCCCTCTCACCAGGAAAGGGTTCTTGAAAACAAAAACCAGTGGCATAGCAGAAGAAATTGGCAATCAAAATACACCTTTATCCTTAAGATAAGGCCCAAGTCTCAGTATGATTCCCAACACATCTACATGCCTACAATGTACTACTCACTGTTGATCCTTAGGTAAAAGCATCTGTTTCTTTCCTATGATCTTTTTTCTTACCTTCCAATGGAACCTATAGAAAATATTGACAACTTCCAAACCTTGTAGAAAGGCACTTTCAGAAACTAGTGTAAAAGAAATAAACAGTTAAGACACCCTCTTATTGTCACCCAGAAACCCACACCATCTGTGCTCAGAAGAGGATTCTACTTACTGCTTCCTCGTGCTCCTTCCAGCAGTCATAATCTGTCGCCATGGCGATACTTGCATAACAAATTCCAGCCTCTTTAGCAAGAACCACCTCTGGAACTGTAGTCATGTTGATAACATCTGCCCCCCAGGTGCGGAGCATGAAGCTTTCTGCCCTTGAGCTAAAACGAGGTCCCTCAATTGTGACCATTGTCCCCTTTGAGTGGCACCGGAGTCCTAGCTTCTTAGCAGTCTCTATAAGAACCTATGAAAGAAAAACCAGAAACTTCAAAACATACAAGTACATGTACAACTTAAGGCTGCATTTTCCTCCAATGTTTAACAAGCTAATTTCTTAAAGATGATTTGTCACTATAATAAATGCCAGAAGAAAACCTAGAAGACCACAGAAGGGTGTTTCCTGGACCCTTTCTCATTTACATAATCCTCTGTTCCCCCAGCCCTTTGCACATAGAAACTAATAGCTACACAAGCAAGCACTGAGCTCTTTCTACTCACCAGTCTATATGCTTTAATCTCATTTGCTTCTTAACAACTTTAAGAGGCTAGGCTGGTTTGAGAATACAGGTATTGATCGACTTACGACCCATGCAACTTACGACCATTCGACTTTACAACCACAATCGCTAGCCACGACTGCTCCGCGTCTGGCAACGCAAACGTTGCCCAGCTGGGCGTACGACAGTGCGGACCAGCTTCCAGCAGCACTACCATCTCCGTGTGCACCATTTCAACTGTACATATAGCCTACTCAACTTTCGACCAAATCGTGTTACGACCGGTCTGCTGGTCCCAATCGTGGTCGTAAGTCGAGCACTAGCTGTACAGACTTGAGTCTTAGCCTTAGTCTTGCAGGCTAAGCTAAGGTGTCTGTCATTGCTCATCTTTCACAAACAGGCGTGTTGAGTTCTATTTCCAGGCTTCTGATAAATTAATTCTCATTACTTTTAAAACTACAGAATCTGAAGACTTTTGAAAAAGCTTTTTCTGGTTAGAGAGTGATTTCTCTTTTGCCTATTGCCTTTCCACAGATTTGTGCTAATATTTTTCTGTTCAGGGATAAACATCTTAGAATTCCTTTAGTGGCAAGGCTAGGCATGGATTTTTAGAAACATCATTAAAAAGTTTGATCATTTTCTCCAGTGTTTTATTTAATACTGTACCTCTAATCTTCAAGTTGACTTCACTTTTTCTTAGCTTATGCTTCAATGTACCCTTTTAATTTAAAAAATAGACTTTTCAACTTAACTATTAACTTACTGAAGCTCTGTTAAAAATAATCTAATCTCTGTATGCCTTAGTTTTCTCAAGTGTAAACTGAGAATAGTGGTAATGCATAACTCAAACTTATGAGGAATAGTAAATGAACTAAGGTATATATCAGCATAGAAGCATGCCAAGTATGCTGTAAACACTGTATGCACAAATGCTAAGCTGGTCTTCTAACAATTAATACTGGCAGCTTCTACACATAGTTGGCTAAGGTTACGGGGACACTATATAAATAAAGTGGAATGACTCAAAGTAAAAGTCTCCAATCTAGGCAAAGTCGTACCTGCACATGTGTTCATCACATAAACAAATTAACCTATTTCCTTAAAAAATAACTTACACTGTACCACTGCAATGGGAAACAGAATTTTAACAAGAGCCTTGCAACTCAAAATTTAGCAAGCTATGGACAACGAACAGTTGATGCTACATCATGTTTATCTTACAAATGCTGAAAATAAAATTATGCTTAACTAACACTTTTTGTGTTAGTATGTTATAAATGTATGTTATAAATGCAAAAGCCTAAATCTCTACCTCCTTTCTCCCCAAAGTTGAGACATACCAAGCCCACTCCTGCTGGTTCAATAATATCTTTAAAGATCTTGAATAACTGAGCTGTATGCCTTGGCTAAAGTTCAGAGTGCTTCTAGAGATGAATGGCCCTTGACAAATCCTCACCATCACTCTGGTACTTTGGGAGATAGGAACCATGCTTGTGAGGAGGAGGAAGAAATGGAGGCTATGAAAATGTGTTGGCCACTTGAACTAGCACGTTGCACTCCCTCAAGAACAGCTAACATTATCTTAAGGTAGCAAAAAATACGAAATACAGGGTCAAGGTCCAGGTCTGGGGTTAAAATGATTTAATTTTCTTATTTCATTTAAGTGCTGTAAACTACTAGACAGATGTGATATTGGAACTACCACAACCCTCACCAAGGAACTAGCAATATTAGATCACCAGACTAAATAGATTTAATGTCAGGACTTTCATGAGTTTCAGATTAACTCCTAAAATGATAGAGGTAACACTGCTTTTGGAACACATGTTTGTACATGGTACAAAACTTAAGTAATAAAACCACTGTCCCTTCCCCCAAGGGAAACCACTATTACTAGGCTTTTTTTCATTTCAATAGTTTTTGGGGAGCAGGTGTTTATTGTGATATGTGTAAGCTCTTTAGTGTGATTTCTGATATTTTGATGCAGTTGTCACCCAGGAAGTATACGCTGCACCCAATGTGTGGTCTTTTATCCCTGACCCTCCTCCCTTACTTCCCCCTGACGCCCCAAAGTCCATTATATTGCCTTTGTATATAGTCCATTCTTATGCCTTTGCATCTCCATAGCTTAGCTTCCATGTACAAATGGGAACATTTGGTTTTTCATTCCTGAGCTACTTCACTGAGAATAATGGTCTCCAACTCCATCTAGGTGGCTGCAATGCCATTATTTTTTCCCCTTTTTATGGCTGAGAATATTCCATTATATTAGTTAAGTACCATTGGATCTGTTGGGGCATATGGCCCAAATGGCACAGCAGTTTGCACAGCAGCCTGGAAATACTGCAGAGCCTTCTCCTGTTCTGGACTCCATTGAAAACTGGCAGCCTATTGGGTCACTTGATAGATGGGCTAAAGTAACACACCCAAATGAGAAATGTGTTGCTTCTAAATCCAAATAGGACCAACAGGCATTGTGCCTCTTTCTTGGTTGCAGGAGGGGCCAAATGCAGCAACTTATCCTTCACCTTAGAAGGAATATCTCGACAGGCCCCACACCACTGGACCCCCTAAAAATATTGAAGGTCCCTGAATTTTAGTCAGATTTATTTCCCATCCTCTGGCACACAAATTTCTCACCAATAAGTCCATTGTATTTGCTACTTCTTGCTCACTGGATCCAATTAGCATACTGTCATCAATGTAATGGACCAGTATAATATCTTGCAGAAGCAAAAAGCAATCAAGGTCTCTCTGAATAAGATTATGACACAAAGCTGGAGAGTTGATATAACCTTGAGGTAGGACAGTAAAGGTATATTGCTGGCCCTGCTAGCTGAAGACAAATTGCTTCTGGTGAGCCTTATGGACACAAATGGAGAAAAAAAGATTTGCCAAGTTAATGGCTGCATACCAGGTATCAGCAGATGTGTTAATTTGCTCAAGCAATGAACCTACATCTGGTACAACAGCTGCAACTGGAGTCACCACCTGGTTAAGTTTATGATAATCCATAGTCATATTCCAAGATCCACTTGTCTTCTGTATGACCCAAATGGGAGAGCTAAATGGGGATGTGGTGGGAATCACCATCCTTGCATATTTCAAGTCCTTGGTAGTAGCACTAATCACTGCAATCCCTCCAGGGATGCAATATTGTTTTTGATTTACTACTTTTCTAGGTAGAGGCAGCTCTAATGACTTCCATTTGGCCTTTCCCACCATAATAGCGCTCACTCTACCAGTCAGGGAGCCAATGTGGGGGTTCTGCCAGCTGCTAAGTATGTCTATGCCAGTTATGCATTTTGACATTGGGGAAATGACCACAAGATGAGTCCAGGTACCCACAGGACCTATTGTAAGTCAGACCTGAGTTAAAACTCCATTAATTAATTACCTGACCTCTATAAGCCCCTACTTTAATTGGAGGACCATAATTAGGTCTTATGTTCCTTGGAATCAACATCAGCTCAGAGCCAGTGTCCAGTAGTCCCTGAAATGTCTGATTATTTCCCTTTCCCTAATGCATAGTTACTCTGGTAAAAGGCTAGAGGTCTCCTTGGGAAGGATTTGAGAAATACTCACATCATAAACTGTCAGTAATATAGTGGGGTCTTTTCTCAAGGGACCCAGCCCCCACTTCATTCAAGGCATTCTGGATCTGTAAACTGGCTCAAGTCTAGAAATTGTTTGAGGGGCTGTGATTCTCTGTATTTATAATTCAAATTAGTCTTCTGTCCATTTGACCTAGAAGTTTTCTGCTTGTATAAATTAAGTGGGAATGCAGTAGGCTTCCTATCAATTTTACTTCTAGGAATGCTGTGATTAATTAGCCAGTGTCAGAGCTTTACATGAGTCAGACTATTCTGATTGCCATTTTCCCTCTGCTGCCCATTAGAGTAGCTATACCCACCTTGTCTTTGATGGTTGGGTGCCGCCACATGGCCCCTGCCACCTTGGAATACACTTATTCCCACTGCATTTAAATTTTGTAGTTGAGTGACTGTGGTTCCCAAAGTTAGATCTGACATGCAGAGAAGAGCAATTACAGGGCTCTTCAAAGATGCAGATGCTATCCTCACAAATCCATTTCGCAAGGCATTGGCCAAGGGTATATCTTCTGGACCCTCCCAGCAGGGGTGAGTAGGTCTAAAGTGACAAAACCATTCCACCATCCCAATTTCTATAAGCCTTTGGATACCTTCCTCTAAATTAAGCCAAGGTAGAACAGACATTTCCAGCTTGCTCACAGTGGGCCATCTTTTAATCCATATTTCAGCTAACCAAGCAAGTAAACTAGTTTTTCCAGCTCCCAGAACTGCAACATTAAGTACAGAGTCTGTACTTAGTGGGCCCAAATTAATAAATTCAGCCTGATCCAACTTCATGTTCCTTCCACCATTATCCCACACCCTTAGTATCCATTCCCATGCCTGTTCTCCAGATTTCTGTTTATATAAATTGGAAAACCCAAGTGGTTCTGAGTGTAGCACACCTCCTTATGGGTCACAATCTCAACCTCACCTCTAGGGGCCTATGGGGACTTTAGTTATAGGTCTAGAAGCAAATGGGAGTCTTGTAGGTGGCTCCTGGGTAGAATCAACATTATCTTGCCTGGCAACTGCCTCAAGGGTGGCCATCACTGTTGCCTCAGGCAATGCAGGGTGTATCTCCTCAGACAAAGGTGGAAAGGCTGATAGCATCATAGGTCAGGGAGAGGATGTTGCCACTTCTGGGGATGGGAAAG